TGCATGAATTTAAATGAGATTCTGTTGCAGTCTTGGTGGCCAATTGATGTAACAAATAAAAGTCTGCCAAATGATGTTTGCACGTCCAACTGGCCTCTTGGTAAATCCACATGGTCCACTTCTGTGGTCTCTTTCTATTGTCGGGTCGGGATCAGAGCTGTGAGAGGACTCCGTGTCCTGCTGTTTTTACTTGAGGGTCACGGAACAGACGGATTAGGCTGCCCACTGCTGAGGAGACGCTCTACAAGAGGTGGGCAAGTGGAGTAATGACCTGCTGCGGGACTGTATTCCATTTTTCTCTTTCTCGTTGAATATTTACCCATGATCAAACTTTTCAGAAAGGATTTATTTGTTGGAAAACAAAGTTGAAAATGCCTGAATCACTCAGACTTAAAATAAAAATCATTTATTTTATTCTTGTAGGGACATTGCAACCTGATCCTTGAAGTGCACCTGACCCCTCACGTTTAGCCTACATTTTTTACTCCCCATATTCATTCATTCCGCTTGTATTTTTGATGATTTGTTGTTTGAAATTTGGTGACTTATACTCATTTGGTAGTTAGGGGTGGGAACCTACAGTAAGGGTACCTCACGATACGATACGATACACGATACAAAGCTCACGATAACGATAATGTCACGATAACGATATTACGATAACGATTTTATCACGATATGATATCACGATATGTCAGAAATATACAATATGCCAATTTATGGCATAAATAAAAGAAAAAATACTCTATTTCATGATAAATGGAATGGAGATGCGTAATGTAGCCATATATTAAGTATTGATACCAATTCAAAAAAAAAAAAAAAAAAGTTTGAAAATCGATATCGATACTTGGCAAATGCATATCGATAATCGAATCGCGGGAGAAAGTATCGCGATATATCGAAAAATTGATATATCGTCACACCCCTAATGGTAGTACATGTGACTCATTGAGATCAAGATTTAAAAGTGCCTGTATTGAAATGAAATTCTGTCTCAGTCTTGGGGGCTAATTCTGATCTTTACACGTCCAACTTGGTAGAGCATTGGCCTTTGGGCCTTAAGGTTGTGGGTTCGAGCCCACCACAAGACCTACTTCACGACTCCCACTGATGTCTTCTGTCGTTGTGTCCTTGGGCAATACTTATCCCTGCTTTGCCTGAAGCCCCCGCTGAAAAGATCAAGGCTCCTGTGGACTCACCCCCTGCAGGAGGATCAGTGAGGGGAAGGTGCTGTGTGTACTGGGTGCAGAAATGGATTAAGGGGAAGAAGATGGATGTTATTAGACTGCACAATAATACATTATGACACCACCTGCAAAAACTTGGATGTATGACACACACCTTGTTTATTTTCACTGTCTTCCTCTTTTATGGCACGTCTTCAGCCTGAATTACACTTGCATTTTTGACAGCCTTTTTATTCCTGCTGCATTTGAGAAAACATTGTAAAACTTTGTGGGATGCTGTTATGGGAATGATATATGCTGCTCTGTGGACCGCCTGCTCTCTTTATGACTTCTGGGCCGATAGTGTCAGCCCCTGTAAGAAGTGGTGCATCTCCAAAACGCCCTCCTCCTGCTTTCCAGATAGAGCAAGGCTAAATCATCCCTTATATATTGGTATCGGCGAGTACTTGGTCAAAATCCTCCCATTCTGGTATTGGTATATATAAAAAGCCCAGTATTAATACTTGAAATTAACATAAAGAATCAGTAGTTTTTGTGGACATTGTTATATTGTCATTCCCACTTGCTTCATTGAATATACTGTGTTCTAATAGGCAGTATTTTGTATTGATTTTGCAACATGAACATGTACGCACATTTGCTATGCTTGGGAAAATACAGATTTGAAAGAGTATTAAAAAAACATGATTATTCACAAGACTTTTGTTTGATGAGCCTATGGTTTTAGAAACAAAGCCTGTTCATAACTTCTCCTTAATGGTTTAGTATAAATTAAAGCTTTTCCTTTTGAAGAAGAGACCATGGCCTGAAAACAAGCTCATTCATTGAGCCACAGTTCTCGCTTTTGCTGAGACACAATTTGTTTCTTTCGCTGCCTGCCATCCCCTTGTCAGCCCCTGCCAAGCAGCTGAATGTTTTGTGGAGTCATGCTCCCAGATCGGCCAAATTGATCAGACTTTTTCAGCTGCGGCCAAAAGCTGCCAGTGTAATACAGTTAGGCCTTGATTGTGTTGTTGATATGAAAAAATTGCAGGGAAACAAACGGCTTTGTCAGTCCACTTGTTTTGTAATTTAATTTCTGCCATCGTTAAGCATCGTCCTCTCTGTGGAATCTAAAGCGGTAAGCATTTGAGCTGATGACCACTTGCCGCCTCTGCAGTAGAAACACACTGATTTGGAGCACATTCGCTGACAGGTCGGTCGGTCTGACGAGGCTGCTCCCCTGATCTGGGAGAGTGGATTCTGAAATGTACCTACTTTGGGACAAATACTTTTCTTACTGTATCTTCTACAGCACATAGTTTGCAACCTGCTTTTACACAAGGGGTGGGCTCACTTCTTTCTTCTTCTGGATCTCTATCATTCTGTCAACTGTACTGTCACATTCTATCATACTGTCATCAAATTACGGATTATAATACAACTTGTATGTAATAATAAGCATTTTTATGAACTCATAAAAAAAAAAAAAAAAACGGGTATAGCTTCTTTAATAAACGATTCTATTTGTTATTCTGACATTTCACGTTTTAAAGTGCTGTCACTTGTGGGTTCGAATCCCGGTCGGAAGAGGTCTTGGTCTGTAGAAATGCGCTATATAAATATATATTTCTTACTTACTTACTGACATCAAACATTCTTTGAGATATTATAAGGAATTCCAAGGATTCGATTTGTGCATATTTTGAGATTAGATTTTCCATTAGGGCGACGGTAGCTCAGTTGGTAGAGCATTGGCCTTTGAGCCAGAGGGTTGTGGGTTCGAGCCCAGCCTTCACTGCCAAACTGCTGTTGTGTCCTTAGGCAAGACACTTCACCCACATAGAATGAGTCTGGTGTGTGTGTGAATGGTCGGAGGGGCCGATGGCGCACACTGGTTGCCTCGCTTCTGTCAGTGTGCCCCAGGGCAGCTGTGGCTACAGTAGCAGTTTATCACCACTGTGTATGGAGTGAATGAATAATGACATGTAAAGCGTCTTTGAGTGTCCAGAAAAGTGCTATATAAAACCGATGCATTATTAGAATAAAAGACTTCTAAAAAAAAAATAGGACCTACAAAATTAAAACTTTGCTTGAAATAAGGTACTGTAAAAGCTGCTTCTTCAATTACATTCATATTTTGTTGTTATTTGTTACTCAAATTAAGTTTCCTAATTCAACCATTCATTGAATTTTTTGGTCATTTTTCCATAAAATATGTTTCTTACAGACACATAGAAAAGGATTGGCTCAGAGAAACGCATGAGATAATGGATTACCCACTTTTTCGCTGAATCCTGTGTGGAGCATGTAGCCAACAGACAGCCTCCCTGAAATATAAGGTGTCTACTCAGCATTTTACCCCCCTTTTACATTTTGGATACTACATTTCCAGGCCAGACCGTTAATGATTTGATGTGTGTGTGTGTGTGTGCGTGTGTGTCTGTGTGTGTGTGTGTGTGCTGGAGGAATCGTATTGCAAGGTCGCCTCTCTTGCATTTTATGATGTCAGAATTACATTACATTGCTTGCTTGGACTACAGACTATTTTTTTAGCATCCACATCTGCAAATGGCATGTTATTTTTGGCCACACATTACATTGAATATATCAAAATGTGTTATCATTTGCTGCAGATTTGACAAAAGATAATATTTAAACGTTTATGGTACTTGACATTTTTCCACGATTTAGGGATGCACCGATTCCAATTTATGATGTCCAATACAAATACACTGGCTTTCAAAAACTGACGATTGTGACATAGGAGAGGAATCAGACTCCTACGTGTGATTTCCCTTAGCAATTAACTAAGCAGTAGGTTCTTTGTGTCTGATCCGAAACAAAGTCACGTGACCCAAAATACCACCTACATATTACAAATGAAGCACATTCCTCTACTGGTTGTTAGGGATTCTTGGCCTTTTTCTGCCTCTTCCTCAATCTCTCCCTCTATCCACCCAACCCCCAAAGTCATGTACATTTTCCCCTTTCGGAACGTGGACTCTGATTAATTACAAGGTCGGTCTAAACAAAAGGCAGCAGTTGTTCTCTCGTTTCATCTTATTATGAGTCCAAGGCCATTTTCATATTCCACCACTCATTTATCACCACACGACCCTCGTCCGGCCAGAGGAACTACTTGCCACAAAAGGAGGGAGGATTCTAATTAATATAATGGAATCGCAGCATGACGTTTTCCTTAGCGCTCTCAATAACTCCGTCATTTATATGCTGATATGCAATTTTTCAGTATTGCCAGCAGTTGGGCTCATAAATTCATAGTGGGTACCTCTGCGGGGCATAACTCATCAAGGGCATGTTTTGTGCAGAATCAAAACAGTACCCAGGGTTTTGACATTGAGGATCTGGCCCGTTTGAACTATGGTGGCCTTGTGCATAATGACACAGTGCAGCCTTTCATGCGACAGGAACGCTCTCCTCAGCACTATCATAAGACAAATGGCCAAATTATCGTAATTGTTAGTCATCATCCACAGCCTTCAGCAAGAAGAAATATCAGATGAATGCAATTGATATATTGTAATCTTAAACTAGCCCAAGTCATTTAGCCACCTTATTACTGCGGTTTATTTTTGCGGCGATTCAAATGTAATCAGAAGAGTGTATGTGCTAAACCTACAGCTTTATGCTTCATTAAAATAATCAACATGAAACGGAACGAGTCCTGGTCTGATCTCTGCAGTGACCCTTACGAGTCTACTGTACATGTGTCATCAGCCTCCACGTTGTTTAATATTTGCCTTTAACGCATCCATGCATCACATGACACGGGATCAGAGGGAAAACGATAAACGCACGATCTGTGGTTTATGAAACCAGGTCCAGATTGGGAAAGTTGTGTGCACAGAACACAAGAGCGCAGAGTCCAAAGCTGTGTGTCGCCTCGGCCTGCGTCCCGGCCTGCGTCCCGGCCTGCGTCCCGGCCTGCGTCCCGGCCTGCGTCCCGGCCTGCGTCCCGGCCTGCGTCCCGGCCTGCGTCCCGGCCTGCGTCCCGTTCTGAGAATTACAGAAATCGAGTGAATCGATAAACAATTTGTGACAGAAGTTTTTCGTATTCAGCTAATTTGACTTACCCTATCTCATAATTGTGTTTAGGTTTAGGGTGTGCCCACTAAGAATAACAACAAATCCACATCTCCTCTAGAGATTTTCTAAATCGGGTCAAGCCCAAAAGGAGCATCGTTAATCTAGACCAAGGTCAATCCTGTGGCCTGAGAATCTCTCTGCTTCTAGTGCCCTCTTAGGGTAGTGTGCTAGTGTTGTGCGATTGTGTTGTGGGCTTGTGTCGTACGCTTGTGTAGTACGCTTGTGTAGTCAGAGCATGTCAGGCCAGTACTTGTACAAATAAAATGAAGGCACCCGCAGCAGGCCGCGTTAAAGACAGAGCAACGTCAAGTGGTGCAAGGTCAGTCTCAGTGAGCCGTGACAAAGACCCCATGTTGTAAATAATAAGTGTGTGACCTTACATAGGAAATAGATGAGCCATATATCAGTCAGATCCACCGCACGCTGACTGCTTATCTGACATGTGTCTAACCAATATACTAATGGATCAGTAAGTAATCGTCTCATTCTATCAGAGCAACTGATAGCCATCAAATCATGTTGTTATTGAGTGTAATGCATGTATTTGTGATATTGAACATTGTGCTATAGTGGATGTTATCTCTTGGGATAAATTTTAAGTTCATGCCAGTACCGCAGGAAGTTTTCCCCCAGTTGTAGTTATAGAGAAAATTAGATCAGTTCATTTTGATACTCCATAGAAGCCTCTAGTCCAAACATACATGAATCTTGGGGGAGAAAATAGACCATGCTATTTACTATTATATATTATATATTTATTGTTTATTTGGTTGGGACAGTACATGTTAATGAACACATGACTCCGGATTGTAGTCATGGGCTAATTTGCATCTGTTGCCCCACATTCGTACTCACAAACACACACTCAATCACCATGAACTATTGCACATGTTTTTAGTGGTAGGGGAAACCAGAGTACCCGGAGGAAACCTACGCAGACACGGGGAGAACATGCAAACTCCACTCAGAAAGGCCCTGAACAAAAGAAGGAAAAATTTAGAGGCTGTTGTTTGCTTGACAAAAGGTCTTTTCTGACTAAAATGATCGAAACAAGTATTTTGCCCTTGCTGAATCCAAGGTTACATTATTCCTCTAATAAACTTGTTCCACTGGATCCATTGTAGCCGCGAACTACCAGTAATGTGCCATCTGTGGGCTTTTTGTTGTCTTTTCCGCGTTATTGAATTTTGTGGAGGAGGAAGGTTTTTGTACTACTCACCTTATGTCACTGCATTTCTATTTGTCAAAGGACCAGCTTCTCCTTTAATCTTCCAGGTACCGCATACGTTGGTGGTTGAGGGAATCGTAATACATGTAAACAGAGGATGAAAGGAGCATACTCGAAGCTGTATTGACATATGGTGATGCTTTGATGAGACGTAAGCCAGTGGGGCAGAGTTTTTCTTGGCTTGTTTGTTGTTTTCGAAAGACTAGTAGCCTATCTACAGTAACATTTGGTCCTGAATAAAAGAACTGTTTGAAAATGAAAGGATTGTCTCTTTTTGAGCTGAGGACACAAACCTCTGTAATGTTGTATTTGTTTTTGCAGCTGCTTTAGTGCCATTGCTGTTTAACAAATCAGTGAAAGGGACAGACAAATTGTTGGAAGGACATGAACATGGTGCAGCCCAGCTGGGACCACCATTCAATTTTACCACTCAAGAAATATTGTCTGACAACGGCTCACAAAGCAGACCCCAGGCGCTGACTCTTAATACAGACTTTTCACCCTTGTATTCCTTGTCAACACATTTTGCAAACATTGTTAAATATTTTTTTGTGAGTTACAGCCTAAAATACATTCAGGTTAACAAAGTCATTTTTATTTTAATTAAAGCATCTTGGTCTTGCTATTACTGTATAAGCATGAGGATGACATCTAATTGATGGCCCATTCTGTTGAGAGCTGTACCCTTAAAGCTGGGTATCTACATTTTTTGTTGATTTTGTAATCCATGCCATTTGTCCCAACTGAAAGAGTCAAATCAGACCACATCTTAAAATTTTAATAGAAAGAATGTAATCTTTTGCTCTGCAAGTCACTATCTGACTAGTATGTGAGGGTGAAGAAGCTGATCCAAAGGTGTGATGAGGCCAAAAATACATCCACTTGCAAACTAGAGATAGAGCCAAACTGTTCTGAGAGAAAAAAGCGAGTTAGATGGATTTTTATTAGTCAGTTTTGTGTTTACCCATCTCCTGATGTCAATGTCAGACACAAATCTTCACATTCTGAAGAATACCTTTATCTATTTTGACAAACTATTCTCTCTCACAATATTTCTACAGAAAATATATTAATTATTCAATTTAAAAATTGAAGTGTAACTATTTTATTACACTGGCACAACACCTCTCCATGTATGTTATTGTGAGAGTGAGAATGTACATATTTTTTTCTTCTGTTTGAATCGCTTTGCAGCAGCAAACTCTCCTTAATTATGACTAAACTACTGGAAGAGGCCAAAAAAGCAGCAAGGAAAGAGTGAGCCCAAGGCGTAATGCTAACATCTGTGTTCGTTCAAACCGATTAAGTGCAAGAGCTCTTCACGCTGCCGATCGGTTAACGTTTCACTGCCACTCCTCCATTACTGCCTCTCTACTCTTCTTTCTCTGCTTTTTTGGCCTAAGACTTTCCATCTGTGCCAGGAGCAATGGCTGCTTTACCCTTCATTTTTTATGCCTCTCCCTCAGGAACCTTGTTAGTATGAATGATCAAAAACATCACAAATGAAAAGTATACTACATTGTATAGTAGGGGTGTGACGATATATCGATTTCCATCTGTGCCAGGAGCACGTACTCGCGATACTTTCTCCCGCGATTCGATTATCGATATGCATTTGCCAAGTATCGATATCGATTTTGAAAAAAAAAAAATATTTTATTTTTTTATTTTTTACTTTTTTTTATTTTTTATTGGTATCAATACTTAATATATGGCTACATTACGCATCTCCATTCTATTTATCATGAAATAAAGAGTATTTTTTATTTTATTTATGCCATAAATTGGCATATTGTATATTTCTGACCAATATATCAATAATCGTCGTATCGTGATAAAATCGTTATCGTGATATTATCGTTATCGAGAGCTTTGTATCGTGTATCGTATCGTATCGTGAGGTACCCTTAGGTTCCCACCCCTATTGTACAGTCTGCTGGTGTCATACTGTACAACGAACAGTGAGGACTAACAAACACTGTTGACCTGACCTCACATGTCGTGCATCTGTGCAATAACGTGAACTAATGTCAGAATGTGCAATAACAAAGCACATTTGTCCTCTGTCACTTTACTGAGTCACTTCGTCCGAGACCCTTTTTCTGCTAACATGTACAGGTGTATATATATATACATATATATTAGGGCTGTCAAACGATTAACATTTTTAATCAAGTTAATTACAGCTTAAAAATTAATTAATCGTAATTAATCGCATTTTGAACTATCGTCAAAATTATGCCATATTTTTCTGTAAATGGTTGTTTGAATGGAAAGATAAATTACAACATAGTGTACATATGTACTGTATTTGTTTATTATAACAACAATAAATCTATATAAAATGGCATTAACGTTATTTCTGTTTAGACTCAGACCAAAACTATTGTTCGTTACAGATGAGGGAGATTTAAAACAGTCCGAAGCAGAATGTCTTTAAATCTGCTTGATTTTCTCACACCATTACTTTTGGGCACAACCAACATGAACTGGTAGTGCAAGGGAAAATTAGGTACCCCAGCTTTAATTTAGCGAGTGCGCTTCGGAAGAAGACACGGAGACTGAGGCTCCGTAGTCCAGCTTCAGCGGTGTATTTATTGTATGCACCGGTTGCGCAAAGACACACACACTACAAGCAGAGAAAAGTTCTATGCGTGTATGGTCTTGGATTTGATCATATGATCACAGCCGCTGGAGGTGGGAACTGATGTCCAGAGCGCCCGCATCTCAGCTCGCAGAGTTCATACAGGAAACTAGGGATGTACCGAATCCAGGATTCGGGTTCGGATTCGGCCAAATATTGGCTTTTTTGACGGGGTTCGGTTTCTGGCCGAACCTTAGAATTTTTCCCCACCGAACCCAAACCCTGCACTTACGCTATGCGCGCTGTGGCTGTTGGATTCGTCACGGAAATCAGATTCGTTCGGAAGTGTAAATAAACATGCACTTTAGCTGAGGTTTATATCCTCTTGCTCTCTGTTCCTCTTCGGGTACGCTGAGGTCTCTTCCTGGTAATGTGATCGCCGCGGTCCAATTAGCTCTAGTCATATGCCGGCGCGAGGGGATGTTATGATTCTTGTTTTCACCTGTAATGCGGTTCTGATGGATCATAAACTAACTGCCTATTCACCAACTTTATGGAGCCGATTACCAGTGCCAGGTACTTGTCATTTGAGCTGCGTATGACTGTAGAAGCAGAGTTGGTGAGTCCATGTTTAGGCAACTAGCCTCTTAGCATTAGCTTCTTAGCATTTAGCTCTTATTTTTACATGACATGCACAGTAATATATGTACTTTATCTCTGAAGTTTTACACTGCTGTGAACTGAATGTATTTGTGTTTAATGATAAGCGGGATTATTATAAATGTTATAATAATAGATTCTGGTCGAGCTACATGTCCAATTTGTAATGCCGATTTGTCTCGTGGTGGTAAGGACCCTAAACAGTACACAACACCGCCAGTTCGCCGCTGTTAAAACATTAGCGTATGAAACATTAGCGTATGAAACATCAATGGACTGAGGATGGAATAGGATTCAGTATTCGGGTTCGGATTCGGCAGAATCTTAACCAGTGGATTCGGTATTCGGCCGAACCCCAAAAACCTGGATTTGGTACATCCCTACAGGAAACAGAAGCAAGTGGGCCGCGGTCACGCGTGTATTATTTTTAAACTTGGATTCCCAGAGACCTGCTCTGTCTCTCACACGCATGTGTCCGCGACATTCTGATTGTTTTTATGGGATGCATGGGCATGCGTCAATTGCATTAATTTTTTTTTCTCTCTCTCTCTCTCTCTCTCTCTCTCTCTCATATATATAATAAAAGAATTTGCACTGAATTTTTGCGAGAGATTATATACTGCTTCTCTTTCATGTTCATTTATCTTGTGCCGTGTGCTCCTCCTTCCTACTGTTCTCTAACTTGTGATGCAACACTGAAATTTCCCCACTCTGGGACAAATAAAGGATCTCTTAATCTTAATCTCAATCTTTATTTTAAATTGAGAGATGCCGAGATTATTATTTGCATTGATGAAATTGTTAAAAGTGATTATTCTTTTTATGCCGTTACAGTGTCCAGAGTATTGAAATCCACAACGTTTATCCTCATCCCTCTCTTCTCTTTTCCCTGTCCTTTGAAGACACAACTCTGGGCTAAATGAATTCTTGGTGCGTTCCCATGCGCTGCCTGTGGTCCTTTATCTCCGAGGACTCTGGAGGTGACTGGACTGACTCCCCATCATTAAAACCTCATCATCTGAGATGACACTGTCTGCAGTTATTGACTTTGACTTTTTCACAAAGGCAACGTCCATAAAATCCAATTGGCAGACCGTGATTCTCAGCAATTTGAATTTGAACACTTTTTGTCAGACATAATCATAAATTGCTACTGAGGCCATGTGTTATGAATGTTTCTTAATATGGATCTACTCCATACTCGATACCAGTAGCGGGCGAGTACTTGAATACATAATCAATTCAATCTTTATAACTTAAACGATATACAATATTTATGTTATTGAATACATTTTTACAAAATTTTCTAAAATTGTCTGGACCTCGATCATTTAAAAAGTTGACGTCCATTGCCCATTCCCCTCTACAATATAAAATACAATTATCAATGGTTACTTAAAATGTAAGCAGGCAATCCACAGAGTACTATAGAGACTAGGGGTGTGACGATATATCGATTTTTCGATATATCAATATACTTTCTTCGATTCGATTATCGATATGCATTTGCATCGATATCGATAGTATTGATATCAATTTTTTTTTTAAATGTTTAAATTTTTTTTTTTCAAATAAAAAAAAAAAAAATCGGTGTCAATACTTAATATATGGCTACATTACGCATCTCCATTCCATTTATTATGAAATAAAGTGTATTTTTTCTTTTATTTATGCCATAAATTGGCATATTGTATATTTCTGACCAATATATCAATAATCGTCATATTGAGATAAAATCGTTATTGTGATATCGTTATTGTGATATTATCGTTATTGTGAGCTTTGTATCGTGTATCGTATCGTGAGGTACCCTTAGGTTCCCAACCCTAATAGAGACTGTCGACTTTAGATACAGCTGACTGAATAAACTGAGGTTTTTGCTTCTAACCTCTACATTACTATTTAGAAATGTAATTAAGTCTGAAGAAGCTGTGGTTGGTAGCAAAATGTAAGTTCAGGTGTGTCTAGTTTCAGCCTTTTTTCTTTATGGTGACATCCCCACTCCAACCATACGTCTGAATGCAGTCTATCCACTACAGCGCTATCTGTCCTTACATCTTGTCCATTCAGAAGATTTATCCTTTTTTTGTAAATTCTGAAATGAAAAGTCTTCTCTTTTTCTTCACACGTTTATTTAAAAAAAAAAAA